TATGGGTTTAAAATTGTGTTTTTCAAAAAGGATACATTAAAAACCTAATTGCTACTACCTCTGAATGTGATCTTATTTGGAAATAGGGTCATTGCGGATGTAACTGGTTAAGGTGAGGTCATACTAGAGAAGAGGGGCCTTTGCTCCAATGTGGCTGATATTCTTAGAAGAAGAAATCAGACACCAAGTGATGATAGCCTGTGGGGACACAGGCAGAGATGGAAGTGCAGCAGCTGCAAGCCCAGGAACACCATGGATTGCTACAAACTACCAGAAACAAGGAAGAGGAAGGAAAGATTCAGAGGTTTCAGAGGGACCACGGCCCTGCCAACATCTTTGGTCATAGACCTCTAGCCTTTAAGACTGTGGAACAGTCCCCTTTTGCTGCTTTAAGTCCCCAGTTTGGGCTACATTGTTATGGCATCCCTGAGACATTAATACACTGTGCATGCCAAGAATGTGGTACCCTGGCTTCTCCTTCCTGTTTGTATCTCGGGATGTGTTAGTAGGGAACATTATTTGGGGATGAGCTAGTATCTCCATTCTGGACAATGGGCACACTTGCTTATTGTTCATTATAAAACTGGTGGATTTCCTAAGTTCAGAGTTCCTCAGCTGTGAAGTGGACCCACTATACGTGCAGCAGCATTTGGACTATATCATGCTGCCCCCATGGGACTTAAGGTGAGAAGGGAGCCAACACAAGCTGAGACTCATGACTCTTGTCATTTTTTTTTTTTTCAGTGCTGGGGCTCCAATTAAGGGCATCACAAATGCCAGGAAAGTATTCTACCACTGAGCCATATCCTCATTCCCTATGATGGTTATCTTTAGCTACCACCTACGGAATAGTAAAGGACTAACTTATTTGCTTGTAAATAAAGTAAAATCAAATCCTAGGCCCAACAAATTCTTGAAAAGAATCTCATCCCTGACCCACTTCCCAAGGGTGTTTTAGTGAAAGGATTTTACAGGGATCTGTTATCAAGGAGCTCTGGACTATGTTTGGAGATTGCATATACACAGGATAAGCCAAATAAGATGCTGCATATAGTGGTTGAAGAATTATTATAACATTATCACAATATTATTCAAATCCCAAGTTCAAGGATATACCATAAAGGTTGTGAGTTAGCAGGGAAAACAGAGTGCTGTGGGCTGGGGTTCAAAACCTTGCAGGAGAGCTACAATTAAGGTGTGGAACGTGACTTCAATTTAGACAGTAGCACTGATAGGAGGCACAGGATTCAGGAGAAAGGGCTGTTGTTATCACATTCCTTTATGATTCCAGGATATTTGTTCACATCTGTATGATAGTATTCATTACATAAGTTTAAAATCAGCAGCTTACATGTCTGCCCCTGTCTTGGAGAGCTTTTTAAGGGGAGTGATATATTTTATTTATTTAAAAAGATCTTTGACATCTGTCACATAGTAAGCATGTAGTAAGTGTATAAACAGATAGATTGATGAATACATGGAGGAATGAAGATCAGAAGTGCATAATTTGACGGAACATTTTACCTATGTGACAACAGAACACAGTCAGGTAGGTGGCCTTGTGCTATACTGGGGAAAGATCTCAAATGCCAGGATAGGGGAATTGTTAGTAAAGGACAGAGGTGACATTAGAGTCATTTCAGAAAGAGTTATTTAGCAGCAATGGGCATGTGGGTCAGATACAGAGGAGGAAAGCTTTGTAAGGCCATATTACAATTGTCCAGATCTAAGATGCCCTATTGTAATTTTGCTTTTTAAAAAGATCCATGTATTTTGACACAAAAGATTAACATCATGCTCCTGTGAGTCAATAGGGAAAGAGAAGCTAGGATAGTTGTGTGCCAGTTTATTGCAGAACACCAAGGATGACCTGCAGAATCTTGTGATTCCTCAGGATTTGTTCTATAGAGAGCTTTGGTGAGTAGTGACCAGATGGCAACTTTTCAGGCGGTTATTTATCATCATAGGGAGAAGCAAATCCTGAGTAGCAGAGATGCACCTACCAGTGTCTGTAGAGCTGGCCTCCCTTGCAGCAAGGCAGGGTATGTCACTCCCCACTGCTAAGTGCCTTCTGTGCAAGAGCTTAGAGCCTTGCTTATATTAGATGCAAACTTGGACCTCCCTCCAGGTCTTCACATTTTACTAGCCTCAGTACAGAAGGTCAAGTATTTTCAATGTTTTCATAGGTTGAATTAAATGTCTTGATTCAGTGACCACTGCTGAATCCAGTGGAGAGAGATTTCTCCTTTGATCCAGGTCACTGCATGCAATCTGCTTAACCAGCCCACTGGCAGACACCTGCCCCACTTCCTTCAACACAGGGGCCTTTGCTCCTGAAAAAGGAATAAAAAGCTCTCCACTGACATTCGAGATGCTTATGATGGGAAACACCAACCTATATTTCTGGCTATTGTGATTGTCTTTGGTCATCTGTTCTGGGATTAAAGGGATCTGTACAAAAACTTCCCGACCAGTAAAATCAACAAGGAGGTCAATGCATGCTTGCCCAACAAGCTTTTATAAGCTTTCTTTTCTCACACCCCAGCTTTCTTTAGCATCATCTCTTAAAATCAATGACTTATCTAGAATATTTGACTTTCAGAGGTGATCAGTTTTCCACCAACATATTATGAAGAAAATCAAACATACTGTTGAAAGAATTTTCTAGTATAAATGCTTCTACAAACACTTAAATTCTAACATTATATGTTATACTTGCTTTGTTACAAAGCCATTCCGTTCTACTGGTTAACTTTTCAACAACCTCTTCCTCTATATAGTAAAATTATGTTCAGCAAGAATCACAAAATAAAATGAATGTTTATAATAGGTAGAAAGAAACAATGATATATTTTACTCAACTTTGTATATATAGTTATGCTGTTAAAAGTAAAATTAGCAAAATAAATATTACATATAAAACCAGTAAGCCTTGCACTTCATGCTCTATAAAACTGTATTAAATTTTAAATACAAATTAACACTGAATGGGCACATGGAAGACAGAAAAGGAAGGTCAAAATTCTGTTTGTCTTCACAAGGATTGTGCTGTGATTGTTTATTTCGAGTCTTCTGTTGAAATGCAGGAATATGAAATCCTTTGGGGACTGATGGAGACAAGGGCTCAGCCTTAAGTAAGTTCAAATGATGCCAATGATTCTAGACTGTTAGAACCTTGCTCTTGAAATGAACAGGTATTATAGAGTCTTCTTTCATTGGAGAAAAACTGCACAACTGGGAGTTCTCCAAATTAACTTCTATATGACATGCATTATTTATTAAAATAACAGTAGTATAAGAATGTGCTCATTTGAAGCTTATATATGTATTAAGAAAATGCTGGGGCTCTGGCTTGGAGATAGAACAGTTCTCTAACATGCTTGAGGCTTTGTGTGTTCAATCCCCAGTACCATAAAGCAAACAAACCAACCAAAAAGCCCCCAGTTATAATGGCAGTGTTGTTTAGAACTTACTTACACTAATCAAAGCCTTTTCCCCTCTATGGAGGAGTATTTTGTTGTTCACATTATTTAGAATTGCGGGCATGATAATAAAAAGGAGGCTATAATTGTTTTTATAATTGTTTTTACCTTTAGTACATATAGTACAGTTTCCTATTATTTGTTGTCACTTCCCACTCTTGGTTGTGTCAAAGAGAAACAGAACAGAACACCAGTTACAGGCTGTAAAGATGAATTATATTCAGTATGATTGCAATACAGGAAAGAGACTTCAGTATAGAGCTGAGCTCATTTGCAAATACAGCAAAGACAGCTGGGGACTTAGTGCCAATAAGCAGAGTGAGGGGATCAGAAATGGAAAAGTGAGGGATCAGAAATGGAAAGTCTAAGAGAAGATATCAAGGGAGGGGGATTCTTGCTAAATTGACTTTACAGGATTCTTGCTAATACCTGGATAAGCTGGCTGAGGAGGCCCAAGGATGAAGTCTAGTTGAAAAGAGGGCTCAGAGGTTCCTGACTAAACTTGGATTAAGGAGAGTCTTTGCTAGGAACCACTGCTTAGTACACATATTTTGCTAAATTAATAGAATGTCAGTTTGTTTTTGAAGTAGCAGGGAAATAATACTGAAATGGTGAGCCATTAAAGAAACTTTACTTTTATATTTTCTAATTTTCTGAAACATTCTTAGTCATTCTGTCAAATGTCACTAATAAATAACAAAACTCAAGAAGAAAAAGTATGTCACTGCATGTCATAATTCTTATGTTTTTCTTTTCTCCTCTAAGTTAGATCCAATTTCAGGCAGCTCACCTAGTCTTTACCACTTTAAGCCAGTTTCTTCCTTGCTTCCTTATACACAGCTCTTGATACTCAAATTGGTGCCCTGATTAGCAGACCAGTGTGTGCACTTTAAAGGGCGACTGATTGGCTTTCCACTGATGCCCAGTGCCCACAGGGAATGATGTGTTAATGTACTAGCAATAAGGGAAAATCCCACATTGCCCCTGAGGATTACTTTTCCTATCTTTGGATGTAATTCAGTCTGATAATGGGAAGAATGGGAAAGATGGGAATAGGGGATTTGTATAAGAAAGGGCCTCTGGATTTACTATACTGCATAACCAAAGTGAGAAAAATGGAGGAAAAGCCTGCTAAGATAGTTTTTCCAAGAAAGTGGCTGGAGCGTGGAGAACAGGTGGGAGAGGGCAGCCTCTGGAGCAGGCAAGAACTATCAGGTCCTGAGGATCACAAATTAGACCTCTTGGCAGATTGTAGGAGGTACCAGCAATAATTTAATGATCTTTCAATATTTTCCCATTGTTAGACTGGGTTTCTAGTAAGGAAACTTTGCCTTGGGGCTGGCCTCTGAGAGTCCTTACTCATACTGGAGTTACATTAACACGTTTGGTTTGGGGTGGAAAGATGAGTGCTAGGTCCCTTTAACATTCACAATGTGGCCTTGAAGCTGCTTCAGTTTCTGAACTAGACCTGGTGGAGGTAAATTGATTCCTTTCCTCTGAAAGCTAGCTTGACTGAGGTGACAGTTCCTGTCCGTTCTTCTTAGTGAGCACAGGAGAGGGTAAAAGCTGGCTTGCAGACACCCCTGCTAGATGGTCACATTCATGCACCTAAAAATGGACAAAGAAAACGGTGATGCTTCATCCAAACCAGCTGACCTGAAAGTAAGTAGAGTGTGGGAAGCTTTCCCTCAGCCTTAAATGCCCTTTACTTTTGACCCTGTTAGTGAAATGAGGTTGTGTGACTTTCTAAAGATAAAGGGGACAAAAAGACAATCCTTTATCTCTTTATGGTACGTAATGGATTTTACAAATGTGAGTTTGTTTTAAAGTACTGTACTCAGCAATCGATTAGCAGCTGTTTTTTCTAAAACTCCAGGGAAATGGTACTGATCTCTATACAAATTCCACTTTAAAATTTAATCAGGGCTAACTGAGACTATCTATAATGTGTTCTTGCACTTAATGATCCAACTTCGGCCTTGAGAGTTCTACGTGCACCGACATTTCTCTGCACCTCTGTCTTTTACTTCTTTGGAGGAATGATTGAAAGTAGCTTGATACCAGAGTCAACTCATCTTTCAAGGGAATATTTTTTTCTCTGTGGAAATTCCACCTCACTCCTGCAGCACAGTGAAGCAAGTTTGGTCTAGGTCAATTTCTCCAGGAGGGATTCAAGCAACATTTTCACTGCGAAGGTTGACAAGAGTGTTTGGCAAACAGAATGAGGGAGCCATGAATAATTCAGAGTGTACTTGGCCACATATTATCCCATTAATTGACAAGAATAAGATTGGAAGACATAAGTTCTAAAGGGAAGAGTGAGGAAGAGTAAGAAAAAAAAAAGGAGAGAACTAAAGGCAGTGCAAAAGAGGGGTTATTTCTTCAGCATTGATGTTCTAGATTGTTGCCTTATAAAAGAATGTGTGGTTAAAAGTTATTTCATCGCTGGCGTTTAGTTACCCTGACATGTATAAATCTCTTTGTCAAAGAAGCTAAACTTTCTTCTACATTATTAACAAATTCACAGCATCAGATGACAGAAGGTAGAGGAGAAAATAAAAGAGGAGGAGGAGGGGACAGTTAAATGATGCATTTTGTCCCTCATGCACATCAGTACATCTAAACCAATAATTTTTATTTCTAACAAGTTCTTTGTTTCATTCTTTGCTGTATTTTAAAATCATTCTTCTGTTTACGACTGAAACACTGAGTCACCAGCCAGTTCAGCCCTGGTGACAGTAAGACACACATATTCTTCCACAACTCTACCCAACCATGGCATCCTCTCTACTTTTCATGCCTACCTCTCAGTCACGAAGCCATAGACAGGAAATCCGTTTATTTCTGTGAGGATCTCACTTATATTTCTATTTTCGATCCTGCCTCCATCCAGAAAGAACTAGTTATGAGAGAAAAGCAATATAATATAGATATTTAAAGGTCTTACAGAGAGCTGTGCATGCACATGAATCTACCCACACAGAATCTTTACCTTCACCCCTGAACTTTAGATCCCTTAGTGGCTTTGCTCCATGATATTCAAGCTTCGGTTCCACAGCAGCTGTTCAATGTAGCTGGAGAGCTGGGGAGAGGGAGGATCTGGAAGCCATTGTACCAAGGTTGTATAATGTTTAGTTTTTCTGGTTTTTTTTTTTTTTTTGGTCTTTTTAGAGGTATGATACTGAGAATGGAACTCAGGGTCTCTCTACCACTGAACTATATGTCTCCAGTCCCTTTCGTTTTTTGAGAAATCTGCCATCCTCCTGCATCAGCCTCCCAAAGAGCAGGGATTGCAGGTGTGGGCTGCCACACCTAGATCTAGTTTTTCTCATCTTCATCCTGTGACTAGGTACAAATCGACTTATTACACTTACAGGAATAATTTGCCTGAATACAGTTAGGCCTCTTAGCACCTAGACCTCCTGACTGGGGAATTCCATTTACGCTCTCGACTACCTCTAACGGAAAATACATCTTTCTTTTTCTTTTCTTTTTTAGATATCCAACATATCAGTTCAGGTGATCAGTGTCCCAGGGAAGCTGCCAGGGAGACACCCACCACGAAAGCCGGTTGGCAAAGCCAAACCCAACAAGCCAGCCAAGAAGAGAGCGCCTTTTTGGAATGTCCAAAATAAAATCATTCTCTTCACAGTATTTTTATTCGTCCTAGCAGTCATAGCCTGGACACTTCTGTGGCTGTACATCAGTAAGTGAAAGTCTGTGTCCCTCTGGGATTAAGCTTGTGATGTGAGTTCTGCTCAGCCAAGCAGGCCTAACCTGCCCTCGGGGTTTCTGATGGAATTTTCCTCTTTCCTAAACTGACACACTGTTTCCAAAGCTGATGTGGAGAATTTTTAAGGAGAAAGGAACCAGAACTGAAACCCATTTCTTCTTTTACCACCACCTCTTTCCTCCCATGGACAAGCAAGAGGGGAGACGGGAGACAGGATGGGAAAGGCTGAGGAGGAAGCTGAGGAGATTTCGAGTAGTTAAAAAATACAATGCATTTATTGCTTTTAAAAAACGAATGGAATGCAAGCTGTTTCATTTCCTTGTTCCACCCACTGCCTGTTTCTAGGCAACCTTAAATTTGCAGCTCCCTGAGCTCCATTTTATACACGCATCTTTTTCTCCCTATTGTGTTTTTGTCAATCTGATCCTTTCGGACAGATGTGGCAACACCTCTTTCTTCTATTTACTCATGCAGCTCGGTGATTATAGCATGTATTGACTTGTCTTAAAGTTCCCATTCTATAGTTAATAGAAGATTCATAAAATGAACATGCATAATGACATAAAATGAAAGGCATGTATTTGACCTCTGCCCCTGGTATCTGGCTCGGAATTTCTAACACTCTTGTAATTTTCTGAGTGTTAGGTAGGATCAGAGCATCTTTTTTACATATATATAAAATATTTGATCTTAGTCTCCAGTTCCTAACACAGAGCTTTTAAGAGTCTTTATTGTGTTGATGAGATGACTCATGGCTGAAAAGCCCTTAGAAAGCCAGAGGAACCAAAAGTGTGAGTAGGGGCCTATAGTTTTCTGTCCCCTCAAAAATGGGACAGGGAGAGGGACTGGAGATGGAGTCACTAATGGTCAATGATTTACTCAATCATAACTACAGCATGCAACCTCCATAACAACACCAAAAGGCAGTGCAGAGAGCAGCTGGATTGGTAAAGGTCCTCTTGCTGGGAGAGAGGCGTGCCCCAGCTCCACAGAGACAGAAGCACCGGTGCTGTACCTGTTGACCTGGCCACTTATTTACATTTTTAAAAAAATATCCTGTATAACAAACCAACAGTAATGAGTAGAGTTTCCCCCTGATTTCTGTGAGTCATTAAAGCAAATTATCACACCTGAGGGGGTCATGGGAAACCCTAACTTGTAGAAGCTGTGTTGGCATCTAAAGTGGTGTCAGTCCTGTGGGAATGAGCCCATAACCTGTGGGGTCTGACACTCTCGTTGGATAGCTAGTGCAGGAATTAAATGAATTATTGGATGCCCAGTTGGTGTTTGCACAGAACTGGAGCATTGATAGGTGTGTGTGTGGAGGAAACAACACCACATTTGGAGTTGGAAAGTGATAATGTGAATTTAAAAAAAAAAGATTTCTTACTTGTACTTTCAAGGATTCTAAAATCTGGGTGGCAAAATTTATAGGCAAAGAATTACTGAATAGTTTCTTGAATTGTTTAGGTCACTTATAAATCGATTGCCTACAATTTGCTTGGCACAGATAGGCACTCCAATAAGCTTCAGAAAGTTTTTTTTCTACTTTCAAAAATCTCACAGTTCAGGCCAGGTGTGGTGGTGTAGGCCTGTAATCCCGGTGGCTCAGGAGGCTGAGGCAGGAGGATCACAAGTTCAAAGCCAGCCTCAGCAATTTAGTGAGATCCTAAGCTACTCTGTGAGATGCTATATCTAAATAAAATACAAAATAGGGCTGGGGATGTGGCTCAGTGGTTGAGTGCCCCTGAGTTCAATCCCTAGAACCAAACCAAACAACAACAAAACAAAAACAAAAACAAAAAAAACAACTCACAGTTCAGTACTGGAGAGAAGGTGTGAATTGATTTTTTTAATTGATTATTTTGTGATCATAGAAGAGAGGCACCCAACTTGCCTACGGGTGGAGTCCAGGTTCCTAAAAATTCATTTGATACATCTTTTAAATGCCCACTGTCTTGGCCCCTTTGGTAGGCATGCAGGACAGACTGGTAAACAAGATACAATTTCTGTCCTCAAGGGGTTTACAGACTACCAGGGGAAGTCAAGTCAATGGGCCATTAAGACAAAGCCAAAAAATCCCAACTGAGAACAAGCCAACTTATTTCCAATCATCTGCCTGCCATGCCTCAACTGATGCATTTGCATTACCCTAGAATTTTTGTATAAAATTTTGGAACAACCTTGTGCAGTAGTAGTTTATTGATTGAGTAAAAATCAGAGAAGGGCATTTCATGGAGAGAGATCAGCATGACCAAAGGAAACGAATATGGATAAGTAAGGACTCTTCAATATGAAACCAATTAGTTTTGAGGCATGAAAGGTGGGTGTAGAGGGTGGCCTTGAGAAGTGAGGTGGACAGTTCATCAGGAAGAACGTGGAGGGACTTGAAAGTTGTGCTGAGCTAGAGTTAGGTACATGTGATTGTGTTCAACGCTAATATGATTTCTCTTGCAATGTTGCTGTTCTGACCTTTGAGTATTTACTAACATGAGAAGGATATGTTTGCACAGAACTGGAGCATTGATAGGTGTGTGTGTGGAGGAAACAACACATTTGGGGTTGAAGGTGATATTGTGAATTTTAAAAATTCATAGTTTTAACTCAAATTTAAAGAATCTGCAACTAGAAAAAAGAAAAAAAAACTTCTAAGAAGCATGTTCTTGATAAAAATAAAACGAACCCAAAGACATTTTTTTTTTGCTTTTTGTGGGAGACCGACTGAAACAAGATGATCCCCCAAGGTCAATAACCCAAAAGAACAAATCTGAGGCAGGATTTCAGGCTTCCTGCCCTTGCCCTGTGCTTGAATACCCCTCCACAGCCTCACTACTCTGCTTGGGTCCAAAGTGAACCCAGGTGGGTCCTACAAGGAAGGTTGCTCGTTGCCACTCTGTAGATTTCATCTTCTTTTTAATTCAGCCATCATTTGCTTAGCATTGTGGTGTGGTGGGCCCTGTGCTAACAGGGATGTTCTCTTTCTCTCTTCTTCTACCCAGCACCTCCCTCCCCACCACCCTTCCAAAAGCAAACTTTTGTTGGACACCAAGGCCAAGCCAGGCACTGACTGCATGACGGGGGCAGAGGAAAATACACAGGTTACTATGCATTCCCTCAGAGCTCACAAAGGGAGGCAGACAAGCAGGCAGCAGCTCTGCTGCAGTGTGAATTATGCCATAGGAAAGAAAAGTGCCAGGGCCCGGGAGCCTGCAAGGTTGCTCAGGAGGAGCAAAACCTGGGAAGCAAAGAGGAAAGGAAGAAAGGAGAGGTGCTCATGGCCCCCAGCCTCTGCTCTTTATTAGCTGCCCTAAAGCAACACAGAGGCAACAGCCTTGCCTTTGCCCCTCCTGGCAGTTTCTGGCCTGGCAGAATACCACGTTCCACAGTCCTCACAGGGCAGAGGATTGGAGCAGGAGTGACCTGCCACACTGGGCTGAAGACCACACTGGGTGGCTTGTGGGAAGGATGAATTCCCATGTATTGGATAGAGCTGAAGACTGGCCCAGCACCTAGAATGTCAGGCCACACAAGTCACTTGAGGGACTAATGAGAGAGCTCCAGAGCTCAGTGACTGGAGTTCTTTCCCTTCTTTTCACCATGAGCTTAATGGTGTCAACTTTTTACCTCCCTACATTCCCCAGACTTGGGGTACATGAAAATTTTCTATGTTCTTTTCAACGCTTTAGAGACTCCAAGATGTATAGATTTCAATCTTTAGGTCATTAAGTATTTTCCAGAAGCAGATTCTAAAAATGGAGCATCCTAAGAGGTCTGTTGATTTGCTGCTGATAGAAGAGGTGTCATTAAGTACATTTAGAGCATCACAGGCTATGAGCCAGTAATGTATGCAGCTTCTTAAAATGAGGTCATTTGGAAGCCTCATACTGACATCCATCAAATGATGCCTGTGGCCACACTGATTGGAAAGCCTCCTAATTGCCTTCTCTCCTCTCATAGGTAAGACAGAAAGCAAAGATGCTTTTTATTTTGTTGGGATGTTTCGTATCACCAACATTGAGTTTCTTCCTGAGTACCGGCAGAAGGAGTCCAGGGAATTTCTCTCCGTGGCGGGGACTGTCCAGCAAGTGGTGAGGTGCTGGGGGTGGGGAAGGCGGTGAAGTGGGTGGGTTGAGGGATAGGGTAGGGGTCATCAGTGTCACAGGTGAGCTGGGTTAAGGGAAATAGAGGACAGCGGGTGAAGGAAGCTGTCAGAGGGAAACATGGGCATTTTTTCTATAAAATAGAATCATTTCCCTCTGATTAATGTAAAAAGAAGTGGCTCTCTCCATTTTTATTTTTCTCATCTGCAAAATAAAGAAATTGGATCAGGTAATCTTTGAAATGCCTTCCATATCTGAGATTATGCACATACTAATTAATGCTATCATTTACACATTTATGCCACCATGGTGCATTAGCAATTCCTTCACTTAAAAAAAAAACAAAAAACAAACAAACAAAAAACCAAAAACAAAAACAAAACTGCCAGAGACAGTGGTGCAGGCTTGGAATCCCAGTGGCTTAGGAGGCTGAGGCAGGAGGATCGCAAGTTCAAGCCAGCCTCAGCAACTTAGTGAAGCCCTAAGTAACTCAACAAGATCTTATTTCTGGGCTGAGGATGTGGCTCAAGTGGTAGCACGCTCACCTGGCATGCGTGGGGTGCTGGGTTCTATCCTCCGCACCACGTAAAATAAAATAAAGATGTTGTATCCACCGAAAACTGAAAAATAAATATTAAAAAAATTCTCTCTCTCTCTCCTTAAACAACAACAAAAAAAGGCTGGGTATGTGGTTCAGTGGGTTCAATCCCTGGTAGTTCAATCCCTGGTACCCAAACCAAACAAAAAAACCCTTTCTCATTATAGAATTAATATTTATTGTAAAAACCTGAAAGATCCAGAAAAGTGTAAAAAGAACATTAAAACCTTTAATGTCCTTACTAGAGATAAAGCCCCTTTTTATTCTGGACTACATAGACATAGAGGATAACGCATACTGGAGTTTTAATGACAATTCAGTTTTACAGTTTGACTTTTTTTCTCTTAACATTACTTTGCATGTTTCTGTCTTAGTAAATATTCTTTTTAAAACACATGTTCTAATTGCCTCTGAGTTACCAAATCCTTTTTTATTGGGTGTTTAAGCTGTTTCCATTTTTTGCTACAATGGAAAATATAGCATTTTTTATGCTACATAAATTGTGTGCATCTCTAATTACTTTCTTAGGTGATTTCTTCAAAGTGTAATTCCTTGTTCAATAGAAATTCAGGGCTTATGGCACACATTGCCAAGTAGAAAGTTTCTGCCAATTTTATTTCTACAAAATGGAGGGGGTTGCCCATCAGAGGCAATGCACAGCCACGGTGTAGTGTAGGATGAGGAAGAGGAAGAGAGAGACAGCAAGCAGCCACAGTGGCCCTTATTTACTGACTGCCTTCTGGACACTGGGTACTTTACCAATTGCTTCATCTCTGATACTTGTGCACCAATTATTCCTCAAATTATCCCAAGGAGGCAGGCATTTTGATCGCTCCTTTACAGAGGGAAAAACAAACAAAACAAAGAGCAAAGGTGGCCCAGCAGATTTAGGTAATATGTTGCATAGTGACTTTAAACTTCAGAGCTCTTATTTTTACCATTGTGCCACATAATTTTTTGAGGTACTTTTTTTCCAGCCTTGGGCGACTAAGTAAGTGGTTTTGCTATTATGTAGGAGAGGCAACAGAGGAGAAAACTTGGGAGAAGAGAATGAGCTTGGTTTTAGAAATGCTAAGAGAGCAAAAAAAGATTGATTTAAAGGGGCTGCGCATTTAAAGAGAGACGGTTCTGAAGGGAAATGGTGTGCTTCGCCCTCTAGTGGCTAATATGAAAATGTGTCCTTAAAGAATAATCAAATACTGAAAAGAGGTTTCATCAAATCTATGAAAAATGTGCTTAAATGAGTTTGGTTTGTTAACTCTGGAGACAATAACGGATGTCAAACTTGACTAGATTCTTTAAAGAGAGAAATAAATGGGCATAACCGATTATTCTTAAACAGCAGAATAAAAGTAGGTAATCCAAGGATTGCTGCAGGACGTAGGGATTTGTCTTGATTAATTTTGATAATGTCTGAGTTTGGAATTAGAGACCACTAGTTGGAGGCTTGCTTTTCTCCTTGCTGGCTGTCAGAGTGTGTCCCTGCAACACACAGAGTTCTGTGATAGGAAGCCAAGCTTGAAAGAATTAGGATACTTTCATTTTATTTTTATTTTATTTTTCAGGTAAACTTTGTTTACACAACATCTGCCTTCTCCAAATTTTATAAGCAGTCTGTGGTTGCAGATGTCAGGTAATTTATGTCTTCTGTTTGGGGATTTCAACCTTCAATGTTTTAAGTTCCCCTCTTTTTTTTTTTTTTTTTTTTTAGAGAGAGAGAGAGAGAGAGAGAGTTAACTTCTATTATTTTTTTTTTTTTTTTTGTGGAAGGATTGGGATTTTACTGTTCTCAAGCAACTTCTCAGGGGCAATTGTATGTTCTTACCATGATCACAACTAAGGACCCAGCCTCTGCCCTGCTCCTTATCTACCAAATTTCACCTTCCCCTCAGGGCTGGAATCCCTATGTCAGTGTCTCCAGGCAAAATGGCCGTGAACATGCCTACAATATTAAGTGGATGGTGGAGGCAAGAATAAAGCATGGACCCTATTTCTGAAAATATTTTCAGTGAAAAAATGATTATTAGAGATTTTTTTTTGTACCAGGGATTGAACTCAGGGCCCTGAGAAAAAAATTTTAAAAGATTTTATGTGCAATAATTTTTAGGAGTAATTGTGCGACATATACTATATCCCATCTCCCACCACTTACAAAATATCTACAGGGATTCACAGTCCACTCTGACACACAAAGGAACTGAGGAATCTTGGAGTGAAGCAGCTCATTTTCCTTAACTTTTCATTTACCAAGTTATTTAAATTCTCTTATGTTTATTTTATAAAATATCCAGTCTTTATCCAATTAGAAACTCAAGCTCTGGGGTCAGTTTGAAAATCAAATTGGGCTTAATTTCTCTACTACTATTAACTAGCTGTGTGGTTGTGAAATGTATTTGGCTTCAATTTCCTCATCTGTCAAACTGGAAAAACACTAAGACGTTTTTCATAAGATTAAATGAGATAAAGCAGATTTGGCACTGTATCAAAAGTGGCCAGGTACCAAACATGTTAAAACTGTTATTTTTAATGGCAGCAAATACTGATTCATATCCACAGAAATAGTAATGGTTCTAGATTTGAATTCTAACATAATAATTAGAATCTATAATGGGATGCTTTCTCTTTCTAATCCCCATAATAGGAGCCAATGACTACCTAAAGAAGGGAGTTAGGTTCAGTTGAAGGATGTGCTTATTGTCTTTGAATCTGTCAGTTGGGTCTCTTTCCTAAGAAAGTCTACTTCCTAAGAGATATCCTTGAACATCTCTCTTTTTCCCCTGTAGCAGCAACAACAAAGGTGGCCTCCTTGTCCACTTTTGGGTTGTGTTTGTCATGCCACATGCCAAGGGCCACATCTTCTGTGAGGACTGTGTGGCAGCCATCTTGAAGGACTCCATCCAGACGAGCATTATAAACCGTACTTCTGTGGGGAGCTTGCAGGGGCTGGCTGTGGACATGGACTCTGTGGTACTAAATGGTAATTGTTGGGTAATTTGTGTTTAAGCATTGCTTCCCATAGCATTCCTTAGGACCATTATCATAGCCAGAGATGTAATGAAGTAGTCTCTTCTACAATCCCAGTGGCACAGGATTAGCCAAAGGCATCAGAGCTGTGTTGGTTAAAGAAGTTGCCAAATATTATGTATAGTACATTGATTCAACAATAGAACTGGGAACAAAACATATAGCAATTGAGTTTCCAAAGTATACATTGTACACCACACCCACCCACACGCACACACACATACACACACACACACACACACATATGTATACACACATATACAAATATATGTATGCTAGGCATAAGATAAGTGGCTGATAAATGAAAAGTTTGTTACATAAAAAATCTCTAGTGGATAATTCTACAACTGCATTTACTATTTCAGTCATAAGATTAATTATTATTTGGTTGCTTTCTTACCTTTAAAAAATGTTTAAGACTTATAACTAAATTAGTCCAAATATACAGAAGTAAAGAGAATAGAAAAATGAATTCTCATACATCCTTAGCTTCAACAACTATCAATTCTTGGCTACCCTATTTAATCTAAAATACCTATTTACAATTTATCCATCCCCTACTAGATTATTTTCAAGTACAATCCTAAATGGGCTTGAATGTTCTCAAGAAGTACTGAAAATAAATTTTCCTGAGCAAAATTCTAATAAAACAAAGTTCTGGGACTAATAGTCTCTTTCTATTCTCTTTTTCAATGCAGCTGGGCTTCGGTCAGATTATTCTTCAACCATAGGATCTGGTAAATTTTTTCATGTGGTACTCCCTTGTCCCCCGGATTAGTATCTTTTTTGACCATAATTTTCCTTTTCAAATGATGGTGTTTGTTAGTACTTTTTAAATTGCAAGTGACAGAAGTATATTTCAACTGGATTAAACAGAAAAGTAACTTGACTGGCTTACATAACTGGGACAAATGTGGAATATATTGACTTTAGGCATGGTTTGGTCCAGATTACAATAAAACACCAGGACTCCATCTCTGCCTTCCTCTGTGGAGGCTTCTTTAATAAGCATGTGCTTCATTGTAGTAGCAAAAATGAGATCACCAGTAGATCAAGCTTATAATTTATCATTTTCTCAATGGTGGTGGAAAATTCCTTCACACTTATTTCCTTGCAGTTCCTGCAAGAAGTCCTGGGGTTGAAGCTCATTATCTAGATTGGCTGATATGCCCATTCCTGAAGCAATTTCTTTGATTGGCCAGTCTGGGTCACATACCCATCTCTGGAGCTAGGGGTGAGTTCAACCCCAACCAAACTGTACAGGCAATGCAGAGACAGTTTCTCAGAGCAAAATCTGGGTGGTGTTACCAGAAGAGAGGAGAGTGGACTGTGCTGACAAGGACAGCAGATGTCCTCCACATGACCTCTTTTGCTCTCTGCTCTTCTATAAAAAAATTCTAGAAAAGTCATTCCTAAAAAAACAAGTAAAAAGAAAGAAAGAAAGAAAGACAGAAAAGGAAAAGAAAGAAGGAAAGTACTGTCTCCACAGACAAAGGCTGCTCTCAGGACTTGTATGCAGATCATCTGTCTCTCCGCTACCCTCTGGAGATTTCTGCCACCTCAGGGAGGCTCATGTGTCATTTCAAACTGGTGGCCATCGTGGGCTGTCTGATTCGTCTCTCGATTGAGTCTATCCAACTCGAAGCTGACAACTGTGTCACCGACTCCCTGACCATTTATGACTCCCTCTTGCCAATTCGGAGCACCATCTTGTACAGGTATCACGCAGGCTGTCTCTACCCTCCTCTCTCTCTCTCCCTCCAACCCCTCCCTCCCTCTCCCTCTCACCCCCACCTCTTTAATGCAGGTACTCTTGTTGGCAGCCAAAAAGATTTTCCACAATCTTGGTTTCTATGGGCTCCCCTGGAAATTTTACAAAGAACATTTTGTGTAGACTCATGAAGTCGAAGACTGTCTGTTTAGTATTCCTGATACTTTAGTAGTATCCTTGCTAGAGTCTATCAGACTCAATGTTTTTTACTTGTAGCACACGAGACTCTCAAAATCAGTACAGCAAGAACTTCAGTCAATATCTGAAATATAAGATATTTGTTTAATTTTATTTTTATTATAATAACAGTGAAGTCTAGTATTTCAGTCAAGTATGACAATAAATATTCTATGATTACATAGCTAAACAAATTTTTTTCTTATTCCAGATGTTCATCGTAGAAAAATGAGATCAGAGAAAATAATATCAAGTACTCCATGATCTCATTACCCAGATCAAATTTCTGTTACATTTTAGCATAAATCCTTTAGTTAATATATGTTTATAATTATATATCCATGTACTTACCCGTATCCTAATATTTTTCACTTAATAGTAGATACCTGCTTAAGGGTACTTAATATTTGAAAGACTAATAATGACAAGCTTTATTAACAAATTATTATTCATTACTCACTGGGTACATGATTATCATTATTTTAAAAAATATATGTCACAGTGCTTTATGTATGTATTAGTATTTATATTTGGTAATGAATGTTTGCATTAGAAGTTCAAACTTTATGCAAGAATAAGTTTGCCACTGGTTCTCATTCTTCAATCATTGTTAGTTTCTTTTCACCTTCCAAATATTTTTGGTTGTTTTCTCTTCCACCCCTCAGCACAGTGCTATGGGGAATATACTATTATTATTACTACTACTATTTCATGGAAGGAAAAATGGTACACACATGGATCTAGTTGCTTGACTTCCTGGCATCTTTCATCCAGTTAGTTGATGGAGCTCTTTTGAATCCGTTTTCCCTGGGGTAGAGCCCATGACCATAGCCATTATATATATAGCCTCTACACTAAGTTGTTCTCAAGGACAGCTAAGGGAGGGCCATCTAGGAGAGTTCTTTGGTAGTAGTTTGTAGACAAACATTTCTGTATCTTTTTTCAGCTTGGTTCCATCTGTAGTATCCTGTGGCCACTGGCTAATGAAGACCCGCCTGGTGGACTAATTCACAAAAACCTTGTGAATGACTCTGGAAATGTGTGCAGTTACTGTTGGGTGGAGTCCCACACTTCCAATAGCCTGCTATTCATGTGTTTTCATTTTGTTATCTGGTTTCAGAATTTGTGAACCCACAAAAACACTGATGTCATTTGTTTCTACAAACAATCTCATGTTGGTGACCCTGAAGTCTCCTTATATACGGAGGCTATCAGGAATCCGGGCATATTTTGAAGTCATTCCAGAACAAAGTAAGTGTTTTCTAATTAAAAAAAAAAAAAAAAAGTTGCTTTTGGAAACATTTGTTATGATGCTGTCTTATCCTTCCTGAGGCTGTTATAATGCTGGTTGAATTAGTCAGGAACCCTGAATTGGAGCCCAGTCAAAAGAGGACAGAGTGAACTGTCAGCTTAGCATTAAGGTGTTAATTAGGCAACTCAAAAAAGGCAAAAAGGACACAAGAAAACTGAAAGATATCATAGAGGTAACACACTCAGGGAGCAACCACCTCCTCACCTCTGAAATAGCAAAGGAAAGATGTTGAAAGTATTACCATTTAGAGCTTGGAAAAAGCCCGAGTGTGGAATGAAACTCTGGTTTTCTTAGGAGGGATAGCTGCTGCAGCTGCTGGTACTGCTGCTACCTCCAATTCCAGAAGTATGTTCTTAAAGAAAGTAATAGCATCCTACAGATCTGTAGTCAAAATGTAGGATTTGGCAACCAACATGGAATTTGGAATTTGACAAGTGTTTTAACTAAATCTGTGGGGTGCTATTTCTTTTTAAAAAAAAGTTCAAAAAATATACCATAGTTTTAATCAAAAATTGTGCATTTGTAATTAGATAAATTAATGTAGTATGTTTTCCCATTGCCTCACAGCTGCAAATCACTGTGTGTGGACATCTTTTTCAGAGTGTGAAAACACAGTGTTGGTCAGAGAAACCACTGGCTTTGAAGGGAAAATTTCAAGTCCATACTACCCGAGCTACTATCCTCCAAAATGCAAGTGTACCTGGAAATTTCAGGTAGCCTAGTTTGCCTGTATATTAGAAAAATATTCCTATCCTATTTTTAGTAGAATTTCATTTCCTTT